TATAAGAGTACCCTTTATGAAATCTGTAATTCAATTCTTTTTATAAATTGTTGTACAACAGCCGTGAAATATGTATTCATCTTCGAGTACCATACGCGTTTGGACACTTGATCGTATTGGACTACACAGTTTGTCGGAGGAACATCTTGTACACGGCAGGCTATTGAGTGTGTTGTTTCTTTTTTACTAATTCCACCAATTGCCTATACCTTATCTGGCACTCATCCTTTGAAACGTCCCATAAATTATAGTACATTTAACATAAAGAAAGAAAAAAAAAATACATGATAAAATAATCATACTTATACCTTTGTTTTCCCTTCAACGCAATTCGCGATTTTCTCCCATCTATCTACAGACGTGCTCTTAGGATATTTTATAAGAGCTGCTTCCAGCGCTCTTTGTTGCTCTTGACTCCATTCATTGACATTGTCCGCATTGTTCTCAGGACGTGTTTTCGCTTTTTTTGGACGTTCATCTACCATGATCTCCTCAGTAGGCGTACTGGGCTTCAACCCTTCATCTTTTATCTGATAAATGTATTATTTATCAAAAAAATTATTCGCGAAAATTAGAAATTATTCGATTTTAAAATAGCAACCTTTTTTGCCATATATGTAACTTCTGCAACAGTACGGTTCATCGTATCTGCAATCTTGTCCCACCTTTCGGACGTACCAGTCGGATACTTTTTCACAAGTTTTATCAGTTCTAGAATATCATCATCTGTCCACAACCCACCAGACATTGCTGGTTTCTGATAAATATGATTTGCTTCATTTTTCTTCGAAATCTCCTTCACTCCATTGCCACTTCTTTCTTGAGGAGTGAAACCTGTTCTCCGTCTCCTTGTACGGGATACAGGCTCTGGTTCTGGTTGTTCGTTTTCTTGTGCCCTGAAACAGTGTATATGGAAATTCTAAGCACATCCAATTAACAGAAAATGTTTAATGATAAAGCAATGTGCTCTATGTAAAAGTCAGATGTTATTTCACTTACAATGCTTCCTCTTCTTCTTGTTTCTTCCTACGTCTCCTCTCTTCCAAAACATTGTGCATTACACGTACAATTTCGGGTATGGATAGCGTGAAAGCTATTATCCATCTTGGAAATTGAAATGGTAGAGTATTCCAAATTGTTGGTGTAGGAATTTTCTCTAAAATGTCTGCCAAATCTGGTACATCCATCTTCCCCTTTTTATTCTTCTTCTGCATTTTTTGAAGTTTACTACCTAAAACTTGTTCCTGCAACATATATTAAAATAAAATGATGCAATTTTCAGTGATTATCAATTTTTCATGACCTTTTTACATACATATGTATATCTTTTTTCAAAGTATGCAGCCCATGCCACCACATATTGTCCAACCGTGAAGAGTAAAAATAAAATTATGCCTAACTCTACAAGTCCCATTTTCCGCACATGGCGGTAATAATATACAGCTGATCGCCAATTTGGCAACCCATTAACAAGTACATTGTCATATCTCTGACGTTTCCCCGGGTCCTTTAATATATCATACACAGCAACTAACTGAAATGCAAAATTACCAATTTTATTAAGTTTCATTTATATCAAAATTAAAACTATCAGAGAAACTTACTTTCCTGAACTGTTGTTCTGCATCCTGTGCAGAATTTTTGTCTGGATGCAATTGCAATGACAATCGTCTGAATGCTTTCTTAATCTCTGAAGCGTTCGCAGCCTGCAAAATTCATTATTTAACCACTCGTTTTGATTGAAAAATAATAAGAAAAGAAACTAACCTGTGGAACACCAAGGACCTCATAGAAATTTTGATTGACCTCCTCCACAACGTCAAACACCTCCAACTCGTCATTATCCCAAGCATTCGCGACCCCATACACGTTGAAAAAATACAAAACCCGAAAGATCAGTAGCAATGACACTCTCATCTTCTTTTTTTCTTTTATTCGCTACGTATGTACATTCATATCCATTGAAAAGTTTCCGCTTGTCGAAAGCCTACGTCGCAACCGTGACTTTACTCACGGTGGATCAATCTATGTAAAGGCAAAATGAGATATGTTAAAACACAAAGTGCCACATCGCAAGTTCCGTTGAGGTTAGGTTCGGAAAACGTAGGCCTTTTGTATCAAACGCGTCGACCATATAGATAAAAAATAGAACTTAACCTTGCTGCATGTATCTGTTGCGCTAAATTAAAGGCCCATTTTCAAACCTCGATATTTAAACCTAAAATCCTGCTTTACCGACCATGCCCTGATTCCTTTAATTAGTTTTTGCATATTATTGTAAATGACTTGCCAAATCTAACGAAGTAACTTTCTAACAATAAATATTAATGAATAAATGAAAAAATGTCATCGATATGTAAATTCGATTACGTAAAGATGTTCCATAGGCTGCAAGTACGTGTGCACACATGTATACGTGTAAAACAAGGTCGAAGTTGCCTGGGCTGTTCGAAAAAACGTATTTATCCCATGCAGAGATGAGATCGAAGGAAGAGGAGATTAGCCGAAGGACTAAGGATTAATTATAGCAGGTGAACGAGATTACGATTCGCAAGGGGTGGTATTGCCGATATGGTGGGCATAGTGTTGCAAACGTGGTACACAGATGACTCCACCAATTTCGGTTATTCGAGGCGCGGCGCACAGTGTGCTTTTGCATTCGCATGCATCACCGTCCTCAGGCTCGATTCGATCGAAAAATGTGTCTTCCGCTATATTTAAGTGCGACTGCACGCACTGTTTTCACGAGCTGTCGCCTGTAGGACGGTCGGAAAACGGTTCCTTCTCGCGCGAGCACAAGTTCCGGCCCCGGTATCGGGAAATTCCATGAATCCGTGGATCGACGATTAAACGGAAGGACCGCATCGTTAATTCCCTGACCGCGGATGGTCATCGTGGCGAACTCTTACTCGAAATTTCCATTGATTGTATTTATAGTGTCCTCCGGTTTATTTTTGCATGCGGTTCCTTTGAGAAAAAGATGCGCCTATCCGCTGGCTGACAGCGTTCACGCATCGTAAGTTGTTCCCTTTAACCAGGATCTAACAGCGGGGAAAACTGTGAAAAAGAGACGAAAAAAAAAAGAAAAGAAACGATTACAGTAAGGTCTTATTTGCATGTGTTCAGCCTGATGTGATATGTGTGGGTGTGCAAGTTATTATGCGCGCGCGTGCGTGTATGCATGTATAAATGTATATACATATTATATATACTGCATATATATATATATATGCACACACATGTATGTATCATACGCCACCTCTTATTTCGTTTGTGTTCTAAATTCGTGTCCCGTGCCGTTGTCGCGAATTTCTATGGGAGAATCGTTGACGCGTTATGGTAGAGGCTGGTGGCGAGCAAATACATAATTAGACTGCACCACGAAGATGTTATTCTTAGCGTGAAAACGCCGTAACGTTAGAACTACGAAAGTCTGTTTTTACCTGTGCTAGATTCTTTTAGTCGTCTATTTCGAATGTACCCTCACATGTCGCCGGGTATTGTCAACCTATAACTCTGTTAGAAACGTATAAATTCATATTCTTGAAATTTCCCTATTTTGAAATTAGTTCAATACTCGTTGATTCGCGAGTTTTGTGTATAGAAATGATAATTACCATTGTCCACGTTGCATAATGCATTATCAGCACTCCATAATGCAACTAAGTTGTCCTTCGTAATGGTTGAAATATTATCAGAATGTTAGTACAGTTACGAATGAGTTTTCCTGCAATGTTTTAATGTTAACGCTTCAACTACATCATTCCCACATTTGTACAATATGTCCAATCATTCATTATATGTATTACTCATGCTTGGAGACACTATGTCTAGCATATATACCTTTGTCCTTTAGTGTGGTGGTTTGTCTTCTTGTGCGGTGACGGACGTGGATCTGCCTAGCGCGAGTCTCTGACATTTGAGTGAAATACACAATATTAAAGCACAGAGTACGAAATGGAGTCTGCTATAGCTGGACGTAGGCGGACAACCGCTCGACATTCAGCAGAGGATCAGGCTCTCGATCAGATAGCCAAGGAGGTATGGCCTGATTATTTTATAAGAATGCAGGAGGGTGGAGTTAAGATAAAGAGAATAGTTGAAATTTAGAATTTTGTTACCAGTTTGCAAATTTTAAGTCAATTGTGTAACCTGAATAGCAGTATTCTGTTGCCTTAACAAGTATAATATGAGTTGGTAATGTTACTATATGTGTGCTTCACCTTGGGTGCTTACATGTATGCATGGTTGTGTTAGGTGGGGATTTATATCTTCCTTGATAAGTTTATCTTTAAACAAGAGTGTATAGGGAAAATTAATAAATAGGTGAGGCTTTGTATATACTGTATGTCACAGATATTAATTTCACTGATATTTTATCTCTTAATTACAACTAAATAATAGTGTAAGTATTTCTTAATCCAAAACTATTATTGGGTCCTGTGTGTACGCATATTATTTTCATGTAAATCCTAATAAGTGTTATCTGTTAGTTTAATACATTTTATGAGTGTTTCTATATCATGTGTCAATGTGTTATAATAAATTGAATGTGAAAATATGTTTTTGGTAACAGGATGGATTTTCCATACATACTTTCAGGCAGAAGCTAGATTAGCTGCTAGAAGACAGGCAAGGGCGGAAGCACGAGAAATACGGATGCGGGAGTTAGAAAGGCAACAAAAAGAGGCAGAGGAGAATGCAGATAGGGTTTATGATATGTGCGCAGGTATTTATTTAACATATTAAAAAATTCTAAATAAAATTTCGGAGAGTAATAAAATACTTTATTGTTTTCTTTTTTTAATTTTACAGCCGATGTGAATAGAACAATGAGAGTAACTCCCGATTCTGTGCGGACGTCACGCCTCCTCACAAATTCCAACAACTTTCAATCCAGTCGTCGGTCTTCTGAAGATTCTCTAGAAGATGCTGGACTAAGCAGAGATCTCAGGGTACCATTTTTTTTCATACTTTCATTTTACAAGTTTTTGTTCATACATTGTTCACAAATTTCTTTGCAGTTAGAGTTGAAAGAATTTGAGGAGAAATTTAGAAAGGCAATGATAGCTAATGCTCAGTTAGACAATGAGAAGTCTTCATATGCTTATCAAGTTGATTTATTAAAAGACAAATTGGAGGAACTGGAGGAGACAGTTGCACAATTACGTAGGGAACTTAGGGAGAAGAATCGAGAGTCCGAGCAGTTAAAGAGAATCAGTCAAAGATTGAAAGACGAGTCAGATATATGCCATGCACAACTATTAGAAAGAGATACGCTTATACAAGTAAGCAGAAACATGAAACACTTTATATGATTAACTTTCTCGTATTTATCGTGCCAAATGATTAATTTAAAAATGAAATTGATTTAGGAAAATGGTTTAGTTATTATTGATGATGAAGGAAGTGAAAACGAGGATAACGAGATTGAAAACGGTCCACGTCCAAGACGAAGAGTACTAGTCAGTACAGAAGCAGCAGAACTATTGCAAAATGCTGGAAAAGGTTCATTGGGTATGCATTCCAAGATATTCAATCACGATAAAGGCTCAAATGTACAAAGAAAAACTAATGTGTTAAATTGCAGATGTTCGGCTGAGGAAATTTGCTTCTGAAAAAAAAGAATTGCAAGACGAGATACGACATCTAAGATTGGAGTTAGAGGAGACAAGAAATCGTATTAGGTCCGAGAGATCGCCTGGTTCAGTATTAGGTTCATATTAACCTTACAATATACTCCTTAAGAAAATCATTACGTAAAACTTCACAATTTTTCAAATGTAATTTCTTTTACACTAGGTTGTTTATCAGACTCTGAAGACGTGCAACGAGAAGCAAACAAACTTTTGGCCGACTATAAGTTCAAGTTACAGAAGGCTGAACAGGACATGTCCACTTTGCAAGCCACGGTAGCCAGGTTAGAGAGTCAAGTGATACGATATAAATCAGCAGCGGAGGCCTCTGAGAAAGCAGAGGACGAATTAAAAGTGGAAAAGAGGAAATTACAAAGAGAAGTAAGCGGAATCTTCTCCGTTCTTAATTCTCTATTTTGCACTGAGTCTCATTACTGAATAAGTGAGGAAAATTTCATTTTTTATAGGTTAGGGAGACTCAGGGCCGTGTTGAAGAGCTAGAGACGGCGAATTCTCATCTGCAGAGGCGACTGGACAAACTTAAAAATGCGAAATCCGCTCTGTTGAAGGAGCTTTGACGGGACGACTTCTTGGGGTCCGTACAATGAGTCTGCCATTTTCTTCGAACCGTGTGTGCCGACGTTGCCTAAACACGAGATACTACTTAACACTTAATTGAATATATAATTTATGCGAAACGGAACGTGCATAGTAATCGTTACGCGATCTTACCATGATTTTTTTAATCGATTCTCTATTTGTACAATACTGCATACAAGAATACGTATGGCGTCCAAAAAATGGCCTCCGCGAGACGGGCCTTTTCAGGATCCCATACTTCTGAACAGTTATACGCTACCTAAAAACTTGTTGTGAAAGGAAATTGCTGTTTCTATATTCAACACGTTCTTTTCTTTCATTCTTTTTTTTTTTTTTTTTTTTTTTTTTTTTTTTTTTTTTTTGTTGACACTAACAATAATTGTTCTCTGCATTTCTCGGTGAAACGAAAAATAAAATAACAGCCTTTTAAATGCATTTCAAAACACCGAACTTTTTTTCCACGAATTCGCTAACAGTTATGGAGTCGATTCGTAATTTGTATATTATTTGGAGTGACACTGACTCGTATATCATAAATATTTTCCATGCTATGTCGTTTTTTAAAAGACGATAGTCTCGTGTTACTTTAGTTTTCTTACTAATAGAGCGGCATCGATGGAAGTTTGAAAGACGATTAATCATGAGAATATTCACTCATGGATTTATGATATACGAGTCATAATTTGAGATATTTGCGTACATGATGGACGATGAATGTAATTTTGCGTTACATCGAATAATTTATAAACGATATTTCTAAAGATATAAAAACGAAAAAATATTTATAACTCTCCTGCGAAAGAAACCCGCGTTATAGTTAAAGCTAGAATTTCGAATGGAAATCAATCCAAAAGTCTACGACGATTCATTTTCTACTATCAAACTGTGAAATTTGATTTTAAGTTATTTTATATCGTGCTCTTGTATTTTTGAGATAAACATCGATATATGGAATTTGTAATACTGAAAAATGGAACACCTTAACATTTATAAGACAAGAAAAGAAAAAACGAAAAAAAAAATTCCTACGGATTCTTAATAGTATTTGTAAATTTTTAAAACCGAGTATATAGCATTTTTTATCGATTGAATTGTCTCCAGAACTGATATACTTCTTATTCCTCGACTGATGCGAAGCAAAAAGAAAGTAGATGTATGATAGTGTGGTCTTTGTACATTCGAAATAAATTAAACTATGTTGTTGAAGCTATATAATATTCTTGGTATATAAATTTATTATATATATATATATTTTTTATGTGATACTGCATAAAGGTAAAAAAGAAGAACAAAACCATTTACAATCTTGTCAGTAAGGAATACGGATTTGAAGAAGAGCAAACAACCAGAAAAATAAAGGAAAATAAAGTAAACTTATTTATCTTATGTTTAGCTCTTACAAGTCATTGTTGGATTTATAATGGGTCATTATATACCCACTAGTTAATTGAATTAAAATACTACTTTTCAATGTCAAAAAGGATATTTATAAAGTTTTTCTTTTTTCGTTGAAGCAATCTATATTTAAACTAAAAACGTATTTGAAAAATAATAACTTGCAAATTGCAAATTATTATTTGTGACCATATATAAATTGTCACCCTTGTATATATTCC